CTATTTTTGAGTTTTTCTTCAAAAGCTATCTGGGTCTCACCTTTATATAATTCTACTTCAATAGGTTTCTGATAATTCTTTACCTCAAGAAGCTAGGAAATACATCAAAATCTGCTGTGACATAAATTACTCTTCCTACAACCCCCTTGAGAATTACATCAAAATAAGTCACTGTAATTAATGGAAAGGATATGTAGGAACTTGCACAGGATATGCTGAGGAGGGAGGTACAGAGAGAAAGATTAAAACTGATAACCATGGGCTGGAGAGACAGCTCAGCAGTAAGAAACACTGCTATTCAAGGACCCAAGTTTGATTGCTACCACCAATATCAGGCAGCTTACTAGTGCCTGGAACTCCAGCTGAGGGAAACCAACATATTCATGTGCATATACCCACACACAGATACACATAATTAATTTTTATTTAAATACCTAAAAAAAAACAAACCTGGTAACCACTACTATAATAAAGAGCTCTAGCCGGGTGCAGTGGAGCATGGTTTTAGTCCCAGCACTTGAGAAGCAAAGGCAGACGAATCTGAGTTGGAAAACAGCCTAGAATCCCAGAAAAGTAAATTCCACAACAGCCAGAACTACAAAGAGAGACCCTGTCATATTAATTGGTTGTAATTTGATGGCAAGCTGCTGCCTTTGAATGGGTTTCAATGAGAGATGTCCCCCATAGTCTCAAATATATGAACACTTGGTCCCCTAGTTAATGTGCTATTTGGGGAAGATTATGGGACCCTTAGAAGCTATAGCCTTCCTAGAGAAAGCATGTCACTAGGGGTGGGCTTTGAGAGTATACACCTCACTCCACTTCTAGTTCTTTCTCTCTGCTTCATATCTAAGGTTCAAAGTGTGAAAATCTCCTGCTGCAATGTCAAACCCCAAACCCCACCATTATAACTTCTCCCTCTGGACTCATAAGCTAAAGTATTTTTTTTTTATTTCATAAGTTGCTTTAGGTCTCAGTGTTTTATGACAGCCAAAAAAAAAAAAAAAACCAACTAATACACCTATTATGGATAAGGCCCTAGATCCAATCCTTAGCACTCAAGAAAGAAAATGCTAGGAATGGTGACATGCTTTTGTAATCCCAGCACTCTAGAAGCTGAGGCAGGAGAATTACCAAGAGGTCAAGGCTCAAAGTCAGCCTGGGTTACACAGCAAGACTTGTGTGAAAATAAAAAGAAAGGGTTTGGGTTGTTGCTATTGTTGTTGTTTGCAATGATGGATTAACCCATGTCTCACACATTCTAGACAAGCATGCCACCACTGAAGAGTATCCCTAACCCAGCTTTCCTTCTGTGTAACTGCCAATAAAGAAGTAAGCTTTTTTTTTTGGGGGGGGGGGGGGTGTTCAAGACAGTTTCTCAGTATAACACTCTGCAGACCAGGCTGGCCTATAACTCACAGATATCAACCTGTTTCTGCGTCCAGAATGCTACAATCACAGGCGTGTGCCACCACCACCCAGCTCAGAAGTAAGCATTTTTAAAGCTCAGAGGACATCTCTTCATGATCCCCAAGACCCTTTTACAAAGCACAACTTTTGTAATTATACTAATGTCAATTTTTTCATAATACTGAAACATTGTTTGCTGCCTTCACTGGACTGGTATTTCCCCTGATGTTTCCTTGACAACCTTGGAGGACATATGAACTTCAGATGCCCCATTAGCAGATGCAAAACTGTAGTAGCACTCACTGCATCCTTCACCACTCCACCTTCAACTAAAAGTTCATACAGAAAATGTCCTTGGCAAAACTGTAACTATTACACAATAAATCTCAATCCTTGGGTGCCCAGCTTTTCATACTCTGCACACTAAAATAGGTGATGGCTATGTCAATGAAGCGCATGACTGAGCTGCAAGAGAACTAACCACTTACAAACAGAACACCATTTTTCTTGAGAAAACAACTGGCAAATAATGATTACTTAATCTTGGGTATTTAGCAGACATTTCCTTGGAAATGAACAATGAACTTGTCACATCAAAGGCAAAGCTGACAATATTTATTGCTAAATTATATATTTCAGGCTTTTGAATTTTGCAAAACTTGCTTCTACCACTACAGTTTAACAGCTTCCTAAGTCAAAAAAAAAAAAATGTTCTGAAGAGAATGGTGATATTAAAAAGAGTGGATCTTTGACAATGAACAATGAAATGTGCAAACAATTAGTAGATCTTATAACTCAAAGAATAAATATTTTCCAAATGACTAATGCATGGTGTTTAGTACAATTTTTAAAGGAAAACTACCATTTGTTGAGTTTCAGGGTGGCATCAAAAAACACCTGTAAGTATCTGAAGTCTCTGAACATGCTTTGCCTTTTCCAAACACTTACTTACATGGAGCCAGATACTACTGACATGCCTCAAGAAAAACATATATCACCAGAGGGTCAACATAGCAGAAGATACAAGAATCCAGATGTTTTTTATTGAACAACACATTAAGGATATTTGTAAAAATATAAATTAGGCTGGGCGGTGGTGACACATGCTTTTAATCCCAGCACTAGGGAGGCAGAGGCAGGTGGATTTCTGTGAGTTTGAGGCCAGCCTGATCTACAAGAGCTAGTTCCAGGACAGCCAATTCTCTGAACCAATTCTCTGGCCCCTAGAATACATTTTTTTAACTTTTATATCTTATTCTGGTTTCAGACAAACAAAGGGTATAAATCTTCCGCTTTTGTAGGATATGATGCAGAACTCCAGTGCTAGCAACTTAATACTTACAGCAGAAAAGGGCTGGTCAATCTGAGTTCTAAGGCAAAAGGGAGAATATTTTGTTCTGTTTTTGAGCCAGGGTCTCACGTATTAAAAGCCAGCCTGAAACTCTATGCTAAGAACTTCTGATTCTCTAGTTGCCACCTCCCAAGCATTGGGAGTCCAGAACCTTGCGTATGCATGCACTCTAAAAACTGAACTACTTTGCACAGCCACACAAGGAAAAAAATTAATTATATCATAAATCAGTCATGAAAAGCTCAACACATTATAAATTAAACAGTAACTGACAAAATAAGAAAAGTGGTAAGACGAAAGATTTTTATTAACTTTTACTTTTTAAAGTTGTACTTTTAAAGTTGTAGAGAGCGGGGGCTGGAGAGATGGCTCAGAGGTTAAGAGCACCGACTGTTCTTCCAGAGGTCTCGAGTTCAATTCCCAGCAACCACATGGTGGCTCACAACCATCTGTAATGAGATCTGGTGTCCTCTTCTGGTGTGCAGGCATACATGGAAGCAGAATGTTGTATACATGATAAATAAAATCTTCAAAAAAAAAAAAAACGTTGTAGAGAGCACTTGTCTAGCAAGAACCAGGCCCTGTGTTCTATTCCTAAGCACCATGAAGAGAGGAAACTACATTGTGCTCTGTGCCTTCAGTCACAAAAAACTTCATCTCTGACCACTTTCAGATGAAGCTTGCATAATATAAGTTTTCACATCTTTTTCTCAAAGTTACAATTAATTTAATTCTTAAAATCTTCTGTCACATTTCTTAGTAATACAATTTTAAAGGGTATTATTTCTTTCCATAATGATTAACATCCCATACTAAGAGATATTGTTATTGCTGTACCTTTTTTTGCAAATAAAGTTTTATTGAAAAACTGCCACCTATTCATTTACATAATAACCACAACTATTTTCATGATGCAAAGATAGAACTGAATAGGTACAAAGGCATATATAACACAGCCTGCAAAACCAATGTATTGACAATCTGAACCTTTAGAAAACACTTAAAATTTTAATTTCGCCGGGCAGTGGTGGCACATGCCTCCCAGCACTAGTTGAGTTCGAGACCAGCTTGGTCTACAAGAGCTAGTTCCAGGACAGCCTCCAAAGCCACAGGGAAACCCTTCTC